TTCCTGGTGCTGGGGGCCGGCCTGGTGCTGTCGGTGTTCGTGGCCGTGGGCGAGTTCCTGTACACGTCCCGTGGGAGCAGCGACGCCCAGCAGGTGAGCCCCTGCTCCCGGGCCTGGGCGCATGTGGTCTGGGTTACCGTAGCAAGTTGGGGGACCTGGGGGCGCTCGCCCCTTTCCGTAATGGTCTGTGGGCTTCGATGCCCAGAGCGCCATGGCTGAGTTAGAGCAAAGATCTGCCGAGTCCCTGGCAGGGCTGCTGACCTTCCTCTGCCGTGGACGTGGACGAGGGGACGAGGGCAGCCGTGCAGGTGGCATCCAGTGAGCGCTTCTCCGAGCGAAGGGAAGAAATGCAGGCTCCGTCGCTTCCGCAGTGGAGACCTGCTCCTCAGATGAGCGAGGACGGAATAAAGCCGGTCTTGGGGGGAAGCAGTGCCTCCCTTAGCGCCCATGCTGAGCCACGCGGTCGTGCAAAGCGATTTATGTAAAGGTACAAACACGGTGTCTCCGACCTGAGCGTGGACCCCTCGAGGTCTGATCGGAAAGGACAGCACACTGTGTATTTCCTCGGCCAGGAGCACGATGAGCCGCCCGAATGGCGATAAAACGTGTAGGACACTATTTTCCAAATCGCAGTTAGGATGAAGGTTGGTTCAACCGTCAGCCATGGTTTCCTATGATTGTTATTTTTGATGGAAATCACACCAGGAGCTTACAGGCCTCTGGGAGGACGATTGTGGTTACGATGGTTCCTTCACAAACAGACGAGAGTAAACAAGCTGCGGCCTCGCGGGGTACGGGGCCCCTGCGGAGTCAAAGGTGCTGATGAAATGTGGGGCTGGCTTGACCCTCGGCTGTCACGCCTTCGAACCCTTAATAATTCTGAACGGGGCTCCAGCCCCCCACTGGGCCCGGGCTCTGCAAACGTGGTGGCCATTCCTGCCAAATCTCAGTCTATCTCACTTCCCTTTCACGGGAGCTCCCTAGCAGCTCCCCGAGCCAGCAGGGGGGTGGTGGGGGGCGAGGATAACAGGCTTCATCAGGAAAACGTGCCCCCAATCTCCAGGCGGCTGCAAGAGCCCTGAGCCCGTCCTGGGCCTCCTAGGGAGACTGTCTTTCCGTAAAGGGGGAGCCGGCCTGGTTTAACCTTCAACTCACTCTCGAGGCGTCCTGTTGGTGGATGCCTGTGTCACGCTTTGCTGTGTGGCTCACGCGTGATGTCATCCGCGCGCTCATCGTAGCTTCTGGCGTATTCGTGTTTCTCCGTCTCCTCCTTTCCTCTGCCTGCAAGGCTTTGTGTGTGCTGCACGGACTCCGTGTAAGCAAACCCATCGGCCGCTCCGCTCAGGGACCGCTCCGTCCAGGATGTAGAAGGTGGCAGATCAGCTCGAGAGGCGAGAGCATGCGGACACACCATCGTTCACACTGTGTAATCGGTTTAGAAAGAAAGGTGCTCGCGGTGGAATTCCCCTCCTAATCGGTGTCACGATGCTCTTCATATCCGTGGAGCGTAAGCGACTGTCTCTCCCTGTCCCGTCCCCGTCCCCAGGAGGGCAAAGCGCACACACTCTGTTCAACGCTGGAGACCGAGGGCACGGCTTGTGGAAATGCCTGAGGGCGGGGGCTCCGCGGGGCGTGTTTGCAGGATCTGTTCTCCCACCCGTGTCCCTCAGTCCCATCTTCATGCCTTAAAACTAAGCCGCTGTTTCCTGAAAAAGTAGATTCAGACGTTCAACTGTGCAAAGCGTGACAACAAAGTGCTGGTTCTGTGGGATGGGCTTCATCTTTCTCTCACTCCCTCTCCCTCCCTCAGGTCCTGCTGATCCCACACCCCAGGGGCCCCGTCTCCATTCTGACTCGGTAACAACGCTCTTTCCATTCCAACCCTCTTCACTCGTCAGGTGGATTATAGGACAGAGACTCACACACACTCAGATCTTAAAGGTTCAAACTGTGACCACGAGATGAAACGGAGCCTCTGGTGTCACAGGGAGGCCGGCTGGTCGCCCTTCCCTGGACAGCAGGGCTCGGTTGGCCACAGTCCCGGGGACACCCACTCACACCACCCACGGTCGCAGGGACACCCCCTCACACCACCCACGGTCCTGGGGACACCCACTCACACCACCCACGGTCCCGGGGACACCCACTCACACCACCCACGGTCGCAGGGACACCCCCTCACACCACCCACGGTCCTGGGGACACCCACTCACACCACCCACGGTCCCGGGGACACCCACTCACACCAGCCACAGTCCCGGGTACACCCACTCACACCAGTCATCCCAGGGACACCCACTCACACCAGCCACGGTCCCGGGGACACCCCCTCACACCAGCCACGGTCCCAGGGACACCCACTCACACCTGCCACGATCCCAGGGACACCCACTCACACCAGCCATGGTCCCAGGGACACCCACTCACATCAGACATCCCAGAAACACCCACTCACAGGACAGAGCTGCTCCCACTCATAGGGGAACAATCTCTTCTGAGCATTGTGCCCTCGCTCGCTTCTCTGGCTCCCCGGCGGGCTGCATGGCTTCACTCCCTGGGAGAGAACAGGGCGAGAAAGCAGAGGCAGGCGTTGCCAATATCAACTCTTTTGTGGAACCGAATGGGGTGCAGCTTTGCAAAAGCACATGTCGCACATGGATGTGCAGGGGGCACACTGGGCGTGTTGTGCTTTACACACACAGAACACCGAGCCTCCTCTCAGGCCTCGCGCCCGGAGGGCTTGCTGGGTGCCGGCTGCCACGTGACATCAGCCAGATCCACACTGTGAGCCTGTGAACAGGAGCAAGGCTCTGACCTTCTCAGAGGGTGTTTTAAGAGTAATGTTGATGAAAACAGCTCAGCCGCGTGGCTCAGGGGTTGAGCTTTGACCCATGAACCAGGAGGTCAGGGTTTGATTCCCAGTCAGGGCACATGCCCAGGTTGTAGACCTGATCCCCAGTGTGGGGCATGCAGGAGGCAGCCGATCCATGATTCTCTCTCATCACTGATGTTTCTCTCTCTCTCCCTCTCCTTTTCTCTCTGACATCAATAAAAATGTTCTTAAAACAAAGAGTAATATCAACAAAACAATCCTCCTTTAATGAAATCCCTCCAGGCAGGAATGTGTCAGAGACCTCGAGGCTGGGAGAGAGGACCGGGGTCCTGTCTGTTTGCCCTCCACCCACTGTGCATGCGAACAGCGTGGTGAAACCCATGGACACGCGCCCTCTGCATCCACGTGCGTCCGCGATCACCACTGTCTCCCGTGTCGCTCACGCACACATTCGCTTCCATCCCACCCTCCGCCCCTTCAGTGCTGCTGGCCGGTCTCTATGTGTTTTCCGCAGAAAACAATTTTAAATGGTGCTTTCCTTCTTTTTCTTGATCAGAAAGGAAAGTCACCAAGAATTGGATTGTATTTTAGGAACAGAGCGAGGCTCATGGGGGAAAAGGCAGAGCCTTGGTGCAGCGAAGGTTTGCCCACTCTCTCCGGCGTCCCCCAAGGGTCCGGGCCTGGGTCACCTCAGGGGCAGGGGCTCAGCTCTCCTCTCAGCTCGGGCGGGGCACACTGTCCGCTCTGAGAGCCGCCGGGTGGTCTGTGTCACTGCGTCTGCAAATGAAACTCCCACTTCGCCTGCTGCCTTGCTGCCTCAGTTTCCCCACGTGGGAGAGGCGGGAGCTGGGCTGGCGGAGGCGTGGGCAGTGGCAGGTGTGACCTGGTGTCGCACGTGCCTGGGCAGCGGGACGGGAGCCGGTTAACTGACCTCTGTCCTCTGCCTCCCCAGTGCCTCTCCTTCAACGCCATCATGGAAGAGCTGGGCATCCCACTCAAGAACCAGAAAAAGTTAAAGAAAAAGTCGAGAACTAAGGGGAAATCTGCCTTCGCCAGTCTCCTCACTTGTCGCCCGAGACGGACTCTGCGCAGGGAGGCGGCGGGGCCTCCCAAGACGGCGCCCGCGGGCAACTGCCAGGTG